CGGATCGAGTTACTACCGAACCTCGTAGGTCTTCCAGAGTAAGATCCGCACCAGAGTGGTACGGTAATCCTGTTCTGGAAGTCATGTTACTAGACCATGATGAACTTACGAACTACGAGGAAGCAATGATGAGCCCAGATTCCGCGAAATGGCTTGAGGCCATGAAATCTGAGATGGGATCCATGTATGAGAACAAAGTGTGCACTTTGGTGGACTTGCCCGATGGTTAGCAAGCCATATTAAATAAATGGATCTTCAAGAGGAAGACGGACACTTATAGTAGTGTTACTATCTACAAAGCTCGACTTATCGCAAAAGGTTTTTGACAAATTCAAGGTGTTGACTATAATGAGATTTTCTCAATTGTAGCGATGCTTAAATCCGTCCGAATCATGTTAGCAGTTGCCATATTTTATGAAATCTAGCAAATGGATGTCAAAACTACATTCCTTAAATGAATATTTCTTAAAGAAGAGTTGTATATGATGCAACCAGAAGGTTTTTTCAATCCTAAAGGTACTAACAAGGTGTGCAAGCTCCAGCGATCCATCTATGGACTGGTGCAAGCATCTCGGAGTTGGAATATACACCTTGATGAGTTGATCAAAGCATATAGTTTTATACAGACTTGCTGTGAAGCCTGTATTTACAAGAAAGTGAGTGGGAGCTCTGTAGCATTTCTAATATTATATGTGGATGGCATATTGTTAACTGGAAATAATATAGAATTTCTGGATATCATAAAGGGATACTTGAATAAGAGTTTTTTAGTGAAAGACCTCGGTGATGCTGCTTACATATTGGGCATCAAGATCAATAGAGATAGATCAAAACGCTTAATTGGACTTTCACAAAACACATACCTTGATAAAATTTTGAAAAGGTTAAAAAATTGATCGGTCAAAGAAAGGGTTCTTGCCTGTATTACAAGGTGTAAAATTGAGTAAGACTCAAAGCCCGACCACGACAGAAAATAGAAAGAGAATGAAAGTCATTCCCTATGCCATAGTCATAGGTTCTATAATGTATGCTGTGCTATGTACCAAACCTATTATGTACCTTGCCATGAGTTTTAGCAAGGGGGGTACAATAGTGATCTAAGAGTAGATCACTGGATAGCGATCAAAATTATCCTTAGTGAGGACTAAGGAAATATTTCTCAATTATGGGGGTGATAAAAGAGACCGTCGTAAAGATTTACGTTGATGTAAGCTTTTACACCGATCCAGATGACTCTAAGTCTCAATCTGGATACATATTGAAAGTGGGAGCAATTAGCTAGAGTAGCTCTGTGCAGAGCATTGTAGACATAGAATTTTTGCAAAATACATACGGCTCTGAATGTGATAGACCCGTTGACTAAACATCTCTCACGAGAAAAACATGGTCACACCTTAATACTCTTTGGGTGTTAATCACATAGCGATATGAACTGTATTATCGACTCTAGTAAACCCTTTGGGTATTGGTCACGTGACGATGTGAGCTATGGGTGTTAATCACATACAAATGTGAATATTTGTGTTAAATCACATGGTGATGTGAACTAGATTATTGACTCTAGTGCAAGTGGGAGACTGAAGGAAATATGCCCTAAAGTAAATAATAAAGTTATTATTTATTTCCTTAATTCATGATAAATGTTTATTATTCATGCTAGAATTGTATTAACCGGAAACTTAGTACATGTGTGAATACATAGACAAAACATATAGTCCCTAATATGCCTCTACTTGACTAGCTCGTTAATTAAAGATGGTTATGTTTCCTAACCATAGACATGTGTTGTCATTTAATGAACGGGATCACATCATTAGGAGAATGATGTGATGGACATGACCCATCCGTTAGCTTAGCATTATGATCATGTAAGTTTCATTGCTACTGCTTTCTTCATGACTTATACAAGTTCCTCAGACTATGAGATTATGCAACTCCCAAATACCGGAGGAACACTTTGTGTGCTACCAAACGTCACAACGTAAAAGGGTGATTATAAAGGTGCTCTACAGGTGTCTCCGAAGGTGTTTGTTGGGTTGGCATATATCGAGATTAGGATTTGTCACTCCGTGTTTCGGAGAGGTATCTCTGGGCCCTCTCGGTAATACTCATCACTATAAGCCTTGCAAGCATTGTAACTAATGAGTTAGTTGCGGGATTAAGTATTATGGAATGAGTAAAGAGACTTGCCGGTTATGAGATTGAACTAGGTATGATGATACCGACGATCAAATCTTGGGCAAGTAACATACCGATGACAAAGGGAACAACGTATGTTGTTATGCGGTTTGACCGATAAAGATCTTCGTAGAATATGTAGGAACCAGTATGAGCATCCAGGTTCCGCTATTGGTTATTGACCGGAGACGTGTCTCGGTCATGTCTACATAGTTCTCGAACCCGTAGGGTCTGCACGCTTAACGTTCGATGACGATTTGTATTATGAGTTTATGTGATTTGATGACCGAAGGTTGTTCGGAGTCCCAGATGATATCACGGACATGACGAGGAGTCTCGAAATGGTCGAGACATAAACATTGATATATTGGAAGGTTATATTCGGACACCAGAAGGGTTTCGAAGTGTATCGAATATTTTTCGGAGTACCGGGAGGTTACCGAAAAACCCCCGGGGAGTCAATGGGCCTTAATGGGCCCTAGTGGAGATAGGAGGCAACGGGTAAGTGGTGGGGCACGCCCCCTAGGCCCAAATCAAATTGGTTTAGTGTTTGGGGGCCGGCCCCCGCTTTCCTTCTTCTCTCCTCCTCCTTCCTCCTTCTCCTAATAGGAATAGGAAAGGGGGAGCCAAACCTACTTGGAGTAGGACTCCCCCCCTTGGGCGCGCCACCCCTTGGTCGGCTTCCTCCTCCCTCCCTCCTTTATATATGTGGGAGGGGGCACCCCATAGACACAAGTTGATCAAGTTGATCTTTTAGCCGTGTGTGGTGCCCCCATCCACAGTTACACACCTCGGTCATATCATCGTAGTGCTCAGGTGAAGCCCTGCGCCGGTAACTTTATCATCACCATCACCACGCCGCCGTGCTGGCGAAACTCTCCCTCGGCCTCAACTGGATTAAGCGTACGAGGGACGTCATCGAGCTGAACGTGTGTTGAACGCGGAGGTGCCGTATGTTCGGTACTTGGATCGGTTGGACCGCAAAGATGTTCGACTACATCAACCGCGTTAACTAACGCTTCCGCTTTCGGTCTACGAGGGTATGTGGACACACTCTCCCCTCTTGTTGCTATGCATCAAATAGATAGATCTTGCGTGATCCTAGATTTTTTTTTGAAATTACCGCGTTCCCCAACAGTAGTGACAATGGGGGAATATATTGATTCACTTCCTGTATGTTTTGGCACTCAACTCGCGGATTTTCGAGCTGACAATGGGGTAATCTATGCATAAGGGTTGATGCATGTTTTTGTCCTACTTTCTTCCCTAGAAATCTTGGGCCACTCTTTGATGTTCTTTGTATTAGATTGAATATTATGAATCTGAAGTTGTTTGATGCATATCGAATAATTAATTCACGGATACTTGTGGTGACATTGGAGTATCTAGGTTACATTAGAGTTAGTTGATGTGTATCATATGATGTTATTTTAGTACAAACTCTAGGGGCTGTTTGTGACACTTATCGAAATAACTCAATAGATTGATCGGAAAAGATAACTTTGAGGTTGTTTCATACCCTACAATAATTTCATCTTATGTTCTTCGCTAGATAAGAACTTTGGAGTGATTCTTTGTCGCACGTTGAGGGATTGTTATATGATTCAATTATGTTAGCATTGTTGAGATATTACACTAGTGAAAATATGAATCCTAGGCCTTGTTTTCAAGCATTCCAATACCGTTTGTGCTCGTTTTATCACTTGCTACCTTGCTGTCTTTTTATTTTCCACATTACAAAAACCTATATCTACTATTCATACTACATTTATATCACCATCTCTTCGCTGAACTAGTGCATCTATATAGTTTGCCATTGTATTGGATGTGTTTGGGACATAAAAAATTTCTTGCATTTGGTTGCAGGGTTGTTTAAGAGAGACATCTTCATCCTACATCTCCCACAGATTGATAAATCTTAGGTCATTCACTTGAGGAAAAATTACTACTGTTCTACAAAACTCCGCGATTGGAGGTCCAACACGACTACAAAAAATAAGTTATGCACTCCCTCTGTCCGGAAATACTTGTCATCAAAATGAATAAATGGAGATTTTAATGACGAGTATTTTCGGACGGAGGGAGTAGTAGTAGACATTAAGCCGCCATCCCGCCACGTCATCAGTCGGGCATCTAGTCTCGCCCGGTCCTCCCCACTGCCACTGTCAAGGAGGCCTACATCCCCGCCCCATCGTGGGCAGCACCTCCACTACTGCCTCAAAGGGCCCGACTGTTAGTTGTCCAGGAGCAAAGCCGAGGTGGAGGCGGTATGCCCGTAGCGTTGAGGTGGAGGCGGGTATGCCCGTCCGTTTAGTGCCATTCATTTGATGATCCGTGTTGAGGTTCCCTTTAAATCGAGTGACCAAATTAGATTTCTCCATGTCTACCGACCTCCTGTGTATTTTACTCCCAAATCGCAGGAAAGAGCCCCCGTGTCTCGCTTCGTGGAATTCCTTTTCCAAAAAAGCGAAAGCGGTTTCCGTCCGGTGAACACTCCACGTCTGAGACGTCTCTCTCTCTCCACTGATCACCCACCTCACTCCGCGCCCTCTACTTTCGTCTCCCCTACCCTTCGCCCCCGTCCTCTCTCTGCTCCATTACGGGAAAAAAGCCGACACCATAGACGGAAAGGCACGGAGCGGGGCACGAAAGCCCGCGCAAGATCCTCACCCTTTCCGGCGGATTTGACGGCCCGCATTCCCCTCCCCCGGGAGCCGGCCGTTCGTACTCCACTACGCGCCGTAGCGGGCGGTTACACGAGTGTGTATATCACGCCAGGCTCCCGGGCCGTCAACGGCTACCCGCGCCCGCCCCTCCCTCCCATGGAACAGGGGGCAGCGCGGCAAGACGAGGCACGCAAGGAGCGGGAGGCGCCGCCGCCGGTCCCTTTCCCCAGGGTGAGCTCGCTCGCTCGCTTCTCCCCGTTTCTTGCTCGCGCGCCGCCGTCTCGAGACGGATCCGGCGCGTTCTGGGTGGTTCTTGGCGTGGGATTTGGGGGCCGCCTGGGGGGAAAGGGGCCTCCGTTCAGGGAATGCTAATGCGCTTCGGGGATTGGGCTGAATTGAACAACCGAAAACCCCCAAATGCGCCTTCTTTAATCGTAGGCCCTGATCGAATCTAGTAGGCAAACATTATGCCTATTTGGGCTTTTCTTTAATTATTAGTCTGGGTCGGTCTGTGCAGAGTTGAACTTGTGTAGGAGCCGTGCCGGAAATTTGGGAAACTTTCAATGCAACATCGGGAGAGCGAAAATCGCAACTGTTCTAGTCATGTTAGTGTTAGACCTACACTCTTGCACGATTGTACTACTTGTCAACTCAGAGAAGCGCATTACCTGGTTCATTTTTAGGAAGAACCGATCTGGTTTATGCTTCTCGTCTGTCTTTCTTTATTGCAATGCTATCATCAGTCACAAACGTGCTGGTGAACTATGGTACCAAAATGCTCGAAATGTTTATTTTCACTGCGGACAAAACAGTTAAGAAACTTAACATTTCTTGTAGGAAAACGAGGAGGAGAGAAATCTGAAGCTACCCTCTCGTGTACGTGCTTCTATTTGCAGTATTCAGTTGTGATTTCCAGTTTCCTGGTTTTCCTTGCTGAGAAAACCTGAAGACCACAATCGTCTGGATTTTTTAATTTCTACTTCTCTGTATAGGTGGTTTCTTTGTTCTTTGGCGGTGATATCTCAACAACAGCACAGTCATTTGAGAAATGGGTGTCGCTGGTACGTTTGCGGAGCGGGACATTTCGCCCATCTGGGTTCCCACGTCGCAATTCAAAGATTGAAGTGATGCCAAGTGGAAGCTTCTCACTTTTTGGCAGCGCAGACTTAAGGTTGCTTGCCTAAATTCATCTACATCCTAGTCATGATTATTTCTCAATTGATTATCTGGTGTCGCTAAACTAAACAAGTGACCTTAATCTACTTGTTGGATAAAGCTACTGTAGAAACGTTATGCTGATTTATCCAAAGAACCTTCTGATGCAAATCTCGTATATGCAAATAGGTTATGGAACCTTACTTGAATACTCACCTGGGGAACATGATTGAATCCTCTGTTCAGTTTCTCTACTTTCCAGAGTTAACTAGGGAACATGCTAAATACCAACACATTGATACCTCGACTTCATTTTGGTGTAATGTTAGGTTAGATTGTATATTTAACTGTATATTTTTTCCTCTCCACGAAAATACTCTTAACTCTGCTATATTAAGATAATACATTACACACAGGTATAACTCTGCTTAAGCCTTCAGAGTCATCTTAGTTTGCCGGATTCTATTTTGACTAATGATTAATTCAACACTCATCCTTTACAACCTAACTGGATATAATGGTTCATATTGATTACTGTTTAGTTCTGACCTTATGCCAGCATGCAGTACGTGTATACCATGTGTTGATCTGCATTGTATTGATATTCTCCAACCAAGAAACTTTTTTTATATAAAAGAACGATGGCAGTAGAGGCAAGACTCCATTAGTAGAATAATAATCTGCCTACGGTTTGCAGAAAACCAATTACCCATGATGGCATCTTCTACATTTTTATTTGTTTAGTTGTGTAAATAAAAATCTAAATGTTACCTTGTGATTTTGTTTAGTAGTAGTATGTAGGGATTTGTTTCCTTATGCCACATAAATGATCATAAGCTTGCAAATCAACGTTCTATGCTCGTTGTGCTAATGCTCTATCATTGTTTTGCTACTGTGCTCTGCTCTGCTCACTATAGGGAGGAAGTGATTAAAGCAGAAGCGGCGAGCAGAGAAAAGAATCCTACGCTTGATCAGCCTCCTGAAATAAGCTTGTGGGAGAGGCTTGGGAATGCTTCTGCATTGGACATTGAATCATCTGGCTTTTCATGGAATATGCTGTCATCTCTGCACCATACAGAACACAGTAGTAGTTCAGAACACTCTGAAGATGAGATGACTAAAGCTCTTGAGGTTTGTTGCTGTCTGTTGTCATGCCGATTTGTATTCTTCCTAGGTTGCTAGTGAGAAAAATAAGTTGAGTTTATACACTCTTTTTCACATCCGAGATCAACTTTCAAGGCAGTTGTTGGGGCTCCAACATGGATTAACATTTTGTAGATTAGGCCTAAATCATATTCTTCTTCTGTAGTTTAATATTTGTTTACTCGTTCAATTAACATGCTGCTTTCTTCTTCCGCCTTTATAGATGACTGTGAACTCTGGTGGCGTTGTGTTCTTTGCTCTATTTAGTGCTTTAGGTAACAATGGTTTACCAAAAGAAGAAGCAGCTGTTATAAAGTTTGCAGCATCAAAGATGGCGACACAGGCAGAACTTTTGGGATATGAATTTGCACGGTTGCTTGGAGTCCAGACACCACAAGTAAATTTGAACACCCAGTGAATACTTTAAACTTATTTTGTGTCAACCATTATCATTGGATTTCTTATCCAGCTTCATCTAAAACTGCAGGCCAGGGTAGTGCATAATTCTAGCCTGGAGTGGCAGGAGATAAAACATGCTGCAGAAGAAGCAAGAGCAATAGCGGTTTCAAATAATGATGAGCTTGGTGAGATGACTTGCTCAGAGTTGTTGGAAGCTCTTGAGCTAAGCCGATGTCTTCTTCTAATGAGGTACTGCTAGCCTTAGTAAAAATATGATGATGCATGCATTTTCTCACTCTGAACTGCATATAAGAAGTTAATTGTCACCTTGTTTGCCAGTTATATTCATGGCTCACCCCTGCTAGAGAGTCCAAAGGCATTCAGTTCACGGCAAGCTGCATGTGTTACTTCTTCATCCCTTGGAAGGGTCTTGATGCTAGACCTGATACTCAGGAATGAGGATAGGCTCCCATGCCGTCAGCTTGGTTGGCGTGGCAATCCGGCAAACTTGATGATTTCAGATAGATCATCCTTGCCCAGTATGGACAGATTTGAGGACTCGAAGAGCACTTCGGAAAGCTCCAATCCACTGCTTTCTAATATTTTCCAAAAAGAAATACGGTTCCACTCTGCAAATGGAAGATTAGATTCTTTGGAGGTGGACCTAATGTCACGAACAGCAGATGCACTGAAAAGTGTACAAGAAAATGCTGAAAGTGCGAGCGGGACTTTCCACATTGTAGCAATTGACACTGGGGTGCCCCGTCGCCCACCTGCAGGGAGACGTGTCAAAGATCATGAACGGTATCCCAAAGTTGTAGAGCTCATTTTGAATAACTCGGAGCACTCCTCAAATATCTTATATGAAATTTCCGGTGGTAAGCTTGGGATTCCTGGACCTGATGAGGCAATCACTTCCACTGATTCTTGTTGCTCTCTTTCTGATGAAGACAATGCTGCTGCGATTCACGAATTCCGAGTGGCATTTCGTGCAGCTCTTAGGGATCTGGAGGGTTTCCATCTATTTCTTCTCCAGCTATACCAAAAATTGGATGGCGTTCTGCGAGTTTTCTCGTCCATAATTACTAAAAGCTCTGAGGAATCTGACCATAATGATATTGCAATTTCTGATTTCCCATCTCCGGGAGCCAGCTACAGTACTCCTTGTCCATCTAATAAGCACGTGAACATCGAGTCTCATAGTGAGACTGGAACGCAAAAAAATGGCACAAAAACGTCTTCTGTGGGATCCCGCGGAAGCTCTGATTCTCCTATGTCCAGGGACAGTTGGAGCGGTAAACACTTGAAGGGGAGTGCAGATGCTCCCCGAAGTAGAATGACAATGAGACTTCGTGATTTTTACAAGACTCCGAAGGTAAGCGCTTCTTTTGATTTAAAATTTCCTAAGGATTCCTTTGCATTACATTCCGTTGGAAATTTTTCGTCCACTCAAAACTCTTGTAAAAGTATCTTCTTTTCCTGTGGTAGCGATCAAACAAACGTCGTTGCAAATAAAATCCTGTGGGATTCTTATGTTATTCCTGTTCAGTGCAAT